ACCCTGATGGTGCCAGCACTGCTCCAGCCATGAATTTGGTGGATTTGGTGTCAAATCAGACAGGGATGTTTCATTTTTATAGCCTAGGAGGGAAGGTGGTAACACTTATCCAGCCTAAAGAGAAAGAAAACTGGAAAGAAAACTGGAAAGAAAACTGGAGAGGAGCCTCCTTCCCCACTTTAATCCCAGCTGATGGAATTTAAAAATAGAGATCTCCAAAGCAATAAAGCTCCTGCTGTCCCTCTGCACCTCTACTGGGAATGTTCCATGGGTCCCAGCAGGAGCTGGTGCCCTGTCCCAGTCCCTGTGATTCCATGTGCTATCTCCCAGGAAAAGGGGACATCTAAGGCATGGAACTGCCACAAGGAGCAGAGGTGCTCAGAGCCCTCTCTGCCATATCCACAGCAGCCTCATTCCTCACAGCCCCTCCAGAACAGGCTGGAAAAGGGGCACAGCATGAGCTCCTGTTCCCTTTAGGGTTTCCTGAGCTGTCAGACTGGCAGGGGAATGGAAAGGCACAGAATTCCTGATCTTAAATGCAGGATTGGAGCCAGGAGATGTCTGTCCTGCTCCTCACTCCATGACAGGCTACTCTGGAGGGCAGTTCTGAAGCCTTTAAATGAGTGACTCCATTGACTGATCAGGGCCCAGACCTTAAATTTCCATTTTTATTATCCCAAACAGCCTTGGCCTGCACAGACTGTGCTGTAACCTTGAATTCAGGTGTAGCTGCTGCCAAAGGGATGGATGCTGGAACCATCTATTCCCAAGGCTGAAACTTGGTTTGAATTGATGAAATGGAGCAAAAATGGGCAGTTGTTCTAGGGAGGTTCAAAGAGAACCTTTCAGAGAGAAATGGGTGTTACACAAAGAATTTTGAAGGAAACTATTTTCCTTCTTTGTCATCCTTCTTTCCTGCTTTGTCATCTACCTCTGCCAATTTATGGAGGAACACTAAGCCACAACATTAAAAAAAAAACATGTGATAAACTCAGCCCAATCCCCCAAAAAATCTTTTTACCCAGTTCAACAGTAACACACTGCACAAACAGGTTCATGTTTCTGGATTTTCAGTGTCTTTGCTATTTTTTATGGAACTTCCCCAGCTTTATGCATCTAAATTTGTGGTTTTCCCCACTTTGTTGGCAGCCCAGACCTTGAACTGAGCTTGTCTGGAGCCATCTTTTACCTGGGTGAGCTTGGGTTTGATGTCTGGTGAGGTGACCCGGCAGGGGATCACCACTGTTTTCCTGTCATCCACGATGTAGATGATGTCAGGGTGCTCCGAGTACATCTCCACAAACGGATTCCTGTAGTCTGCAGGGAGAAGAAAGATTTGGAAAGCTGCTCAGTCACGGGAAGGGCACAGCAGTGTGAGCACTGAACTGCCCAGAAAGGCTCCCTTGGAGGACATCCAGTGAAATCCTGCCACTGTCACACAGGGATTCCAGCCAATGACCAATTCCTTGGATTTAACCCCATGTTCATCCAGAAATTCCCCAGAACGACACATTTCTGTGCAGAGACGTGAAAAACTTCATGGATTACCAGCTCACAGTGCCAAGATACTTCTGGGCCTTGGGAGCCCTCCTGTCCTTCATCTGGGGACATCAACAGGCATTTCTTGACTGATAGCAGCCTTTGCTTAAGGAATTCCAGGGAAATACCCAAGTGCTGTCACCTGGAATTAACCCTCAGAGAATCAGCTCAGAGCAGAGCTGGAGCTCCTCTGCTCCACAACCCACCCCAATTTCACTCCCAACCACACCAAGGCAGGGATGGACACAGCAGAGTGGCCCTGCTGCCTTTTGTGGGGTTTGGAGCTTCATTTTAGCTCTGAGAACTGGGAGTTTTGTCCTCAGCAGACAAAACAAACCATGGGCTTCATCAGGAGGAGAGCAAGTGTTGGCTGGAGTGGTGTGTGAGCCAGAAAGGCCACGAGGGAGGTGATGGTGGTGTTTTACAGAAGGGACTCAGGGCACTCTGCAAGGACCAGAGAATTGGGATTCGTGTGTGGACTTGGGACGAGGGGCTGAGCACGAGCACTGGAGCCAAGGCACATAAAGACCCCAAATCTTGATGATTTCTCTAATTTCTAGTGCTGTTTTTTATGCCAGCTTTTCTTCCACGTCACTGGTTTATTCTGGCTGTGCTTTGGCGTAAGGGCATTGCAGGAAACGTTATGTGAGAGAGATTAATTAGAATTAAAACATTAGATCTCTAATCTCCCCACATTTGGGAAGTTTCAGATACACATCTGAACTTTCTGGCCAGGCAGGCCCTGGTTTTAATCAAGCCTTGAGCAGAGAAACCTGATCTTTGAACCACAACTTTGTAGCTTGGTCCAAGCCCCAGAACAAATAGGAAATGTTTATATTCAGTCCAGTGTCTCGTGCACTTTCCCAAAAATGCTAAATTCTCCTGTTGGGTCACATTATGAAAATGTGTTTAGTGTTTATCCCTGCAGCTTAATCCCTCTGCAGTCTTGCTCTCTAGTTGAACCACACTGGGAGGTATCAAATGTGACAATATTTTTATTTTTATTCTACTTAAAAGAAGACACTGGGTAATTATTTGTGATAGGAAAAAGCACAGAAAGTAGATTTTTGTGTTTATTTGCAACAAAGTGCAAGAAGGTGTCAGGGGAAATGTAATCACAATTATTTCTTGTCCTGTGGAGAAAAGGAAGGAACAAGGGATGTGCCAAGTGACAGGGGATGGACAAAGGTATGGAATGGATGGAAAAGGGTGTAGGATGGATGGATAAAGATACAGGCCAAGAGGAAATTTTCTGGGGGAAAAAAGGAGCTTCCTGATACCAAATTATCCACAATTCAGGATCAGATTTTGACTGAAAAGATGGAAGCACGGAATTTAAAACTATTTCGGCCAGTATTTTTAGAGATTTTCAGAATAGCACTGTTTGTTTAAGAAGTAACATAAATTAAAAGAAGGCAGCTAAACAAATATGAAATAATCCTAAAATGCAGGAAAAATATTGAACTGTGCAACTATCAATGCATCTTAGACAAAACAGAATAAAATGGCTCAAAAATATTTCCTGTTCAGGAACAAAACATATTTATTCTCCACCATCTTTCCCAAACTTCAAGACTCATATCCACCAAATTTTCAGAATCACAAGAGACCTAAAATTAATCTACCTTTTCCCAGCTGCAAACAGGGCAGGTATGGTGCTACTGATTCTCCTAATGGGAAAGGAAGCAGGGATTTACAGGGCGTGTGACAGAAGCTGTATTTCAGTCCTAATTGATTTTTAATAGCAGCCTGCTCCTGAATTGCCACATGTCCAACCAGGGGCTGCAGATAAACTACCCCAGATAAGCTACAATCTGAACTGGAAGCCAAACTAGATAAATCTGACCTTCTACCATCAATCTTTGGAATCTTGATGGTATCTTAAAATCACAGTGCACTTAACAGCAGCAAGAGGCAGTTCCTGGGTGATAAAGATGGGGAAAAGGAAAGAATGGCTCCAGCTGTGGTGATTGTTAATCACTCCTGAGTGTTGGGTCTCCTGGGCATCATTCTCACTGTGTTTTAAAAAAAATAAAGAGAAAAAGGTTTTCTATTTTATGGGTTCTCCCCTTTGCTAACACAGTTGGGGTGTCCTAGAGCAGATGGCTGTGATTTGTGTTATCTCTGTGATTTGTGTTATCTCAGTAATTTTTGTTATCTCAGTGATTTGTCCAGTTTATTTTTCTCTGCCGTGAAAGGGCTTTTCCCTCCCTCTTTCCATCTGCAATATCAGAGCTCTTAAACAGGTGGGGATACCTTTGGGTGGATATCTGTGGATGGATACCTGTGGATGGGATATACCTGTGGATGGGATATCTGTGGATGGATACCTGTGGATGGGATACCTGTGGGTGGGATATTTGTGAGTGGGATGTCTGTGGGAGCCCTGGGATAAGCCCAGTCAGTCAGAGCAGGGTGCTAATAAAGCCAAGGTTGTGGTTTTGATCTCTGTTTAAGAGCTGGATTCTGTGATCCTTGGGGATCCCTTCCAACCTGGAACGTGCTGTGATTTCAGCTCCTGGAGAGAGGGTGCTGCTGGGGCAGCAGCTTGTGGAGCTGTCCTGCTGCAGGCCTGACCCTGAGAGCCCCGTCCAGGAGGCAAGGGCTGCACTTTGGCCATCGGGGGACAGTGACCTTGAAGTGACAGGGCCAGCTGCAGGGGAAGGTCGAGCACCTGGGTCTATCCCTGAGGCCAGGGAGCCTTTGTTTCCCTCCCTAACTGTAGAACTCCGTGCAAAAGGGAAAAAACAACAATGTCACAGAATCCCAGAATGGTTTGGGTTGGAACCTTAAAGCCCATCCAGTGCCACCCCTGCCATGGGCAGGGACACCTCCCACCACCCCAGCTTGCTCCAAGCTCCATGCAGCCTGGCCTTGGACACTTCCAGGGATGGGACAGCCTCAAGTATCTCAGTCATCAAGCACTAAAGAGCCCCAGCACGCTGAGAAGAGCTCAAACCTTGTGTGTCCCTCTCCAGCTGCTCCAAAACCCCTCCTAAGCAGGAGCAAGGCAGTGCCATTGGGAAGGAGAGGCTTTCCAGCACTTTCCGGACTGCTCACTTGGCAGATAAGGAAATTTAAAGTGGCCCAGCTTTGGAGCTTAACAGAATGACAAGGGATAAGTTCTGAGCTAATCAACTGCCAGCTGATACCTCTGTTATGGTTTGTGCAAGCAAAAAAAAAATAGATCTTTCCTGAAACCCCTCAGTAGTTCACACTGACGGTGGCGTGGAAAAATGATCTGCTGGAACATCAGGAGTGTCACTGCCAGCTTTCCAACCATGCTCACCACCTCCAGTCCACCAGCAATCAGTTAACTCCTTGTAAAAAACTCTCTCAGAGACAGAACTTCTTGAAACAAAAGGGACAGGGTCACTTTTCTTTCAAAATGATAACCTCAGCCTGGAAGATGTCCAGTTCCAGGTGGTGTAAATCAATTGCACTCAAGTGTTGCAATCTGGAGAGCTGTGGCATGGGAAATGCAGGTGTTGTCCTCTCCACAGTCACCAGCACTGAACTCTGGGGGGAAATTCCTCAGCAAAGAAACCCTTGATGAGAACAGAATATTTCCCTGTAGCTTGGCACATCTGTTCCTCCTGAGCTGGGAAGGTGAAATGCCCTATGAATTTCACCCAGAAAGAAACACCCAGCAATTCCCAGAGGAAAATTAACAAAAGTGATTTACTGCGGGCTCGTTGCATGTGAGGAGAGACAAGAGCTGAAGCTTGCTGGGGATTTATCAGCTGCAGCCCCAGCTGGGAGGCGAGGGAAAGGCCCCTTCCCCTGGCTCTCAGACTGCATGTCTGGCTCCCCAGGTCAGTGGAAGTTTGCAGGAAGCTCAGGCAGGCCAGGGTGTTGGGAGGGAACACAAAAAGCACGGCCAAGGAAGCCGTGGCAGCAGCACAGGGAGGGAAGGGACTGTCCAACCCCAGGGACAGCAAGCATGGAACACACAAAAGCAACCCAAAGGTCAACGGGAACATTGTTTTCCTGCAGGCAGCGAAGCCCTTCATGTTTGGATGCTCATCCAGGAGGAGATTAATTGCTGCTTGGGATGAGCTTTGGGCCTTCCAGCTCAGCTGGGCAATCTCAACTCTCCCCTCACAGCTCCACAGCAGCTGTGGGACACAGGTCCAGGACATGGATCCAGGACACAGGACTGGGACACAGGTCCAGGACATGGATCCAGGACACAGGACTGGGACACAGGTCCAGGACATGGAACCAGGACACAGATCCAGGACACGGTTCCAGGACACAGGACTGGGACACAGGTCCAGGATATAAATCCAGGACACAGGTCTGGGACACAGGTCTGGATTATGGATCCAGGACATCGATCCAGGACACAGGACTGGGACACAGATCCAGGACATGGATCCAGGACACAGATCCAGGACATGGATCCAGGACACAGGTCTGGAATATGGATCCAGGACATAGATCCAGGACCCAGATCCAGGACACAGGTCTGGGACACAGGTCTGGAATACGGATCCAGGACACGGATCCAGGACACAGGTCTGGAATATGGATCCAGGACATAGATCCAGGACACAGGTCCAGGATATAAATCCAGGACACAGGTCCAGGACACAGGTCTGGGACACAGGTGACACCTGCTCTTTGTTCAGTGTCACCTGTAGGACAGGGGCCTCTCTCCAGGGGCTCTCCACTGGTATCCCCCTCTCAGAGGCATCACAGCTCCATCCTGCCTGAAGCTGAGGGATTTAAACCCCTCATGTTGTAGATTCAATCTCTCCTACAGCTCTTTATTT